ATTCAACGAAATATTACCCCCAGGGAAGATATATCCCAAGGGCTTTGCCCGAGGGATATATCTTCCCGAGGGGGTAATATTTTGTCGAGTTCCCGAGCGGAAGGTCTATAAATTATATATTATATCGAAACAATGTGTAGGCACCACAAAAGCTGAGTGAAATTGGCTTCTTTTGCCTCCATTTTGAAATTGTTGACAACCTCGAGTCATGTGAGAGGTATCCACACGTGGTACATGCAAACTCGAATACTCGGTATTCGACTTTTATAGCGTAATGTGAAAAAATTCGATGGATCCATGATTAGTTTACTGATCATGTGGTAAAAATCGAGCTTTCTGATTGGATGATTTACAGTTGAGATATAATATTATTAATTAACTCATCAAGCCATGCTTGGTAACTGTTCCAGAATACTTTTACTGTGGACCTCTCACCCTCTGTTTAAATTAAGCATATGTGACATGTAAATTGTACAGGTAACAGTTAAAGCTCAAGACAATTGGTGATTTTGTGGTACTGACTACTGGTGGCAGGAGCAGCACTACATGTATAACAAATACACTTCTCTAGCCTATTACTGCCTTTATGTACTATTTATTATTTAAAACAAAAGCAGGAGTATGTTTTATCGCGCATATAAAACACCACTCGAAGTAGAGTGTTTTATAATTCATATGCGATAAAACTTGACCTATTAACAATTCAAATGGCAAAAACAAATCTACCTTATGAGTTCACTCGCGAAGAAACTTTTAAACAAACGTTGTCAAAATCGGGAAAATCAAAGCTAAAGTTTATGTAAATGAACATAATTTTTTTATCACATATAAAACCACCGTCACGACAGTGATTTCCTTCGTGTTTTCTTCATGAATTATTAATGAATTTCTTAAGAATAATTTAATAACTAAATAAAACATGCAAATAAATTTAACATCTTAAGTTAAGACTGTTAATTAAGTCGTTAAGAATTTAAGAAAATTAAGTTGGAATATTTGACATTATATTCCTAAGCCTTGAGTAGAAAATCTGCTTTTGCTTTTTTTCTTCAGCCATCCCTTTTAATCAAAATGAAAAAATCCAAATGTAGTATAAACAAAGATTAATGAGCATGCGATCAGTTAAAAAATACGCACGTGAACTACTTCATCTGAAACAGGCATACAAAACCTAAATTTAAAGTTCTTAACTCCTTAAAGACGATGTTTAAGTTTTTTAGAGTGTCGAACATTAGGGCTTCAGCTTTTCTTCCGCAACACATTTCCGCAATATAATTTTTAACCTTGTTTCTTCCGCAGAAGATCTCTCGCCTAAGTGCCTTACGTTCCACTATGGATGTTCATTCCATGCCAGACATTCATCAATGATAATACCAAGAAAGTTTGTACTTTTGACTTGCTCAATATGTTGTCGGAAGTAGCTAGGGTGACCTGTAGGCTGAACCGGAAGTGAAATGAGCGAGGGTCTTCTGAGAATGAGAGCGAATAGTTAGAACGGCGTGGGTCAAATTTGTGTGAACAGTTTAACGAGAATTAATGAGAATATAGACCTTTATACTGGAACTTTAACCGTGTTTGTGAATTATTGTGATCGTGGGGGGACCTCAACAACGTTCCCCACACAGTGGCACCTCCGGACGAGATAGTAATTCGTAATTTTAGCGAGAAACAAGGAGGAAATATCGAACAAGATGGAGAAATTAGACAGCGTATTGACGGGAAAAATGAAAGCCTTACGTTTTACACTAAGCAAAACCGACGAGATTATCGGAAAACGAAATAAAACAGCCATCGAACGGCATCGTGATACGTTGAATTCAATGTCAAGTGCCATTGGGAAGTTAAAAGGAGAAATCGAGGAAGCGAAGTTCATAGCGGGCGACAGTGACGAAAATGTCGACAATTGGGGAAAGCCGGTCGTAGAACAATTAGAAGAAGTCGACGAGAAAATCACGCATTTAAACAAGATTATATCGGATCTAGCTCTTCAAGAGAAAGCACAACAACAGGAAGAGGAAAAAAAACTGACATTTCATACAAGGAAAGATCAATTAGAATTTGAGCGTAAACAATTTGAACAAAAACTAGAATTTGAAGTAAAAATGAGCGAAATGAAAAAAGGTTCCATGACATCATCATCGGAGGACTCTACCAGTACAGTTACCAGTGCGGCAAAACTCCCCAAGTTAGTGATTACTAAATTCAATGGGGCACACCAGGACTGGCTAAGTTTCTGGAATCAGTTTGTAGCAGAAATAGACAGATCCAAAGTTGCTGCCATTACAAAATTTTCATATTTGAAGGAATTAGTAGAGCCAAAAGTAAGATGCTGTATAGATGGTCTCCCATTTTCAACAGAGGGATACGAACGTGCCAAAACAATCCTCAAGTCTAAATATGGTAAACCCTGTGAAATAGTGCATGCCTACATGAAGAATATTATGGGGTTACCTGTCATCATGCACTGGAAATCAACCAAAGAAAGTGCACGAGTTTTATGAATCTCTGGTGTACAATGTACAATCGCTTGAGACACTAGGGAAACTAAAAGAAATCACTGGGTATGTTCGCACTACACTTGACAAGTTAGAAGGAATACGAGGTGACCTGGTGCGGAATGACGATAACTGGCAGGAATGGGAGTTCCCACAATTAGTCTAAGCCATACGGAAGTGGACAGAGAGAAACCCACTACAAGTCAAGGACCATGATAACAAAAACGACAGCAAGTTCTCCCATCGGGGAGGGAAACCAACCGGACAACGTGACCGAGCATTTCAGATGAAACAAAGCGAAGTAAAGAAAGTGTGTGTTTTTTGTGAAAATGCTGAGCATCGATCGAAAGATTGTGATAAGATTGTATCGAGAGAAGACAGAAGGAAATTTCTGCAGGAGAAGCGCCTGTGTTTCAATTGTACAGGGTCTAAACATTTAGCAACCGACTGTAGGAGTAAGTCAACCTGTACAAACTGTGGCAGAAGACACCACACCTCTATTTGCGACAAGACATCAAACCCCTTGTTGACGACACCTTTCTCAAAAACTGCAGTTGTTTATCCAGTAGTTATTGTTGAAGTCCAGGAGATAAAATGTCGGGCCCTAGTGGACACAGGGGCCGGAAGCTCATATGCCTCAGCAAGTTTGCTAAACCATATCAAAGCCAAACCAACATCATCAGATATTCGCAACATTGAAATGCTACTTGGGACAACCACAAGGAAACTGGACATCTTCCAGATTGGCATTCAATCTGTGGACGGTGACTTTAGTCTGGAAGCAAATTGACGAAGATTGATAAACAGCAGTTGTTGTTGCTACCAAACCCACAATACGACCAAGTTTTGAGGAAGTACCAACATTTGGATGGAGTAGTAATTAAAGATGAGGATCCAAAGGAACAGCTCCCAATTCATCTTATTTTGGGCGTAGGGGAATACTCGAAAATCAAAACAAGTTCGAGGCAGAAAGTCGGTGTACCAGGAGAACCAGTGGCAGAACTGACTAAATTCGGATGGATCCTACTATCACCTGGACAAGGTATTGATCTGTCTCAAATGTTCCTGACCCAAACATCGTCAGTGGAATATGATGAGCTTTGTCGGATGGATGTCCTAGGGTTAGCAGACACCCCAGTTGGAGATCAAGAAGCAGTATATGACGAGTTTAAAGAACAACTGTACAGAAGTCCCGAAGGCTGGTATGAAACTGGCCTCCCTTGGAAAGGAAGCTACTTTCCAGTGGGTACGAATGAGGCTAACAGCCAACGACGATTACGGACACTGGTGAGCAAACTCAAAGCCACAGGGAAATTGGAGGAATATAACAAAGTTATCAGAGAACAGTTGGAAGAAGGAGTGGTAGAACCGGTACCAGAGAAATCTGAGGGGCGAGAATTCTATATACCCCACAAAGGAGTGTTTCGTGAGACGGCAGAGAGTACCAAATTGCGGGTTGTGTATGATGCCTCGGCTAGACCATCCAAAGAGTCCATCATTGAATGACTGTCTCGAAGTTGGTCCTTCTCTCCAGAACAAATTGTGGTCGGTACTAGTGCGGGGAAGATTCCACCCTGTTTGCCTCAGTGGAGATCTGCGAAAAGCCTTCTTACAAGTGAGAGTTCGTAGCAGTGATCGAGATGTCCTCCGATTCCACTGGCTGGAAGATATCAACATGGATGAAATACAAACGTTGCGATTTACAAGAGCTCTCTTTGGACTTACCTCTTCCCCATTCCTCTTGGGAGGAGTAATCCAACAGCACTTAGAAAGTTGGCACCCAAAGAACCCTGCTGGTGTTGAAGAGATAAGAAAGAGTCTTTACGTCGATGACCTTATTAGTGGAACAACTACAATCGCGAAAGCATCAGAGTTAAAAGCAACTGCCACAGAAATCTTTCAAGATGCAGCATTCGAGTTACATAAGTGGCAGTCAAACGACAAGGAGCTGGAAACGCCATCATCATCAAACCAAGAAGAGGAAACCTATGCAAAGGAACAACTCGGGTCCCAACCAAAGAAAACGGTAAACTCCTTGGTCTCGACTGGGATAAAGACAAGGACACAATAAGCATTACCTTTCCATCGCAGAAAGCAGACCCGTCGAAGAGAGGTATATTATCAAAATTGGCTAGAGTATATGACCCTTTAGGACTGGTGTCCCCGATGACATTATTAGCCAGTAAGTTGTTGTATCGTGAAGCCTGTGAGCGCAAGTTAAGTTGGGATGCTCCACTGAATGAATCCCTGGCGAAGAAATGGAAAAGGTGGGAGATCGAACTTCCGAACAGTGTTGAAGTTCCTAGAAGCCTCGTAGGAAATCGCGAAGAGATTTAAGAAATTCATCTACATACATTCGGGGATGCTAGCATAAAGAGAGTGGCAGCCGCGGTGTATGCTGTGGTAAGGCAGGCGTCTGGAGATACGCAGGGATTGGTCGCAGCAAAATCGCGTCTGGTTAAGAAAGGTTTGTCCATACCAAGAACGGAGTTAGTGTCGGCTCACATGGCGACAAACCTAGTTGACAATGTGAAAACAGCGTTGGAAGGTTTGCCAGTAACTGACGTGACGGGATGGCTTGATAGCACGGTGGCTCTGTACTGGATCGAAGGCAGAGGACAGTATAAGCAGTTCGTACAAAATCGGGTGAGGAAAATTTGCGAGAAGAGATACATCGAGTGGAGGCACGTACCAACGGATCAAAATCCAGCCGATGTCGGTAGTCGGGCAGGTTTGGGTTCTAACGATAAGCAGTTGTGGCAACACGGACCCGGTTGGCTTGGTGCGAAAGAGAACTGGCCTCAAACTCCAGTGATTGCTGAAACCGATGAATCGAAAGTCGAAACCAAGTTGACTCGTGAAGTATTTGCATTAGTCCTACCAGCGAAAGACACGTTTGACGAGCTCCTCGAAAAATTTGAACTTTGGAAAATGCTGCGAATTGGAGCGTGGGTAGCAAGGTTCGTGTCTAATGCAAGGATTCATGGGGGGGAAAAGTCATTGGGACCTATTACGACGGAGGAAATCCAAAAGCAAGTACTATTCTGGGTGAAAAGAGTCCAAGGGCGGAATGAAACAACTGACACCTTCCACGACGACCGGTCACGATTAAACCTTCAAACAACCAAGGACGGTGTGTACGAATGTCGAGGCCGTCTTCAAGGACTTTACCCGACCTATTTACCCGATCAAGAAATGTTCACCGAGAAGCTTGTGATGGACGCCCACATCCGAACCTTACATGGGGGAGTGGGACTTACCATGACTAAGCTACGGGAGGTTTATTGGATACCACGTTTACGAAGGTTGGTGAGGAAGATGATCAAAAGGTGTAATGGCTGTAGGCGATTTCGGGCAGTCGCAGTTGCCGATCCTCCACCCGGAAATCTTCCGACAGATCGAACGGTTGGATCCTCTGCGTTTCAAGTGATTGGAGTGGACTATGCGGGGCCAATTCCCTATCGGACAGCGAAAAATCGAGAACGAAAATCGTACCTCCTTTTGTATACTTGTAGTCTGTCGAGAGCGGTCCATTTGGAGTTATTACCAGACCTGACCACGACAGAATTCATTCATAGCTTGAAGAAGTTTATCGCCCGTAGGGGTCGTCCTAGAAAAATCTACTCGGACAACGGGAGGACATTTGTGTCTGCAGCGACCTGGCTGAGAAAGGTGATGAAAGAAGAGAGGTTTCACAACTGGTTGGCGGAACAAAGAATCGAATGGCAGTTTAATCTATCTCGCGCACCGTGGTGGGGCGGTCAATTTGAGCGGATGATAGGATTAGTCAAACAAGCATTATACAAGACCATCGGGAAAGCTTGTCTACAGTATAAAGAACTTCAAGAAGTATTGCTAGACATTGAGCTGGTTTTAAACAACCGACCGTTAGGTTACGTAGAAGATGACGAACAGATGCCAATTCTTACTCCTAACAACCTGATGTTTGGTCAGCCAGGCACAATCCCTGTGGAAGATGTCGATTGTATTGATGAAGCAAGCCTTAGAAAGAGAGCAAGATATGTTGAGAAATGCAAAAGCGCTTTGTGGTCGAGATGGTCATCGGAGTATCTCCGGGGTTTACGAGAACGACACAATTTAAAACATCCGAAGAAAGAGCATAAATTGAAACAGGGTGACGTGGTGATTATCAAGGGAGAAGAAAGAGATTGGAACAAATGGAAACTCGGTGTTGTAGATCAGATGATTAAGGGAAGAGACGGTGTGATCAGAGCGGTCAAATTGAGAGCAGGAAAGTCATACTTGGAGCGTCCAATTCAGTTCTTGTATCCAATGGAATTATCGTGCGACATAGAATCACCAAAGACGAGCTTGAACGCGAAGGAGTTTAAACTCAAGAGAAAGGCGGCGATAACCGCTCAGGAGAACCTTCGGAAGATAATAGAAGTAGAGAAACAAAGTGACTAAACTTATAAACATAGTTGTTGACGTTAGACGTTTAAAATCGTAATCATTAGTTTACGAACAGAACAAAGATACTGCATGTTGAACATTATTTAGTTCTTATCAGAACAAAATAGGGGGAGAGTGTCGGAAGTAGCTAGGGTGACCTGTAGGCTGAACCGGAAGTGAAATGAGCGAGGGTCTTCTGAGAATGAGAGCGAATAGTTAGAACGGCGTGGGTCAAATTTGTGTGAACAGTTTAACGAGAATTAACGAGAATATAGACCTTTATACTGGAACTTTAACCGTGTTTGTGAATTATTGTGATCGTGGGGGGACCTCAACAACATTCCCCACAATGTATATTATTTATGGTAATTTTAACTTCATGCTTGGGTTTTTTATTGGAAGGTCTGAATATAATAAATTTTGTTTTAGCAATATTTAGGGGTAATTTATTGACATTTAGCCATTCAGTTACATTATTCATTTCTGTTTGCATGGTTTCACTAATTGTTTTAAGACAATTATTACTATAAAATATATTAGTACTGTAAGCAAATAATACAAATGAAACTAATTTACTACAATTTTCAATATCATTCATATATAATAGCAACAGAATAGGTCCAAGAAATTATCCCTGTGGGACTCCAGTCTGCATTAACATCTCTTTTGACCTAATTGGATCATATTTGATGATTTGCTGCCTATTTGATAAGTATTCTTGAAACCATAGTTGAGCTACTCCCCGAACACCGTAGTGTTCTAGTTTTTTAACCAGAATCTTGTAATTAATTGTGTCAAATGCTTTTGACAAGTCTAGGAAAATACCTATTGTATATTCTCCATTATTGATTGCTTTAGTTAATCTGTTAGTAAGTTCAATAATTGCAAGTTCAGTGGATATGTTTTCTCTGAAACCATATTGATGCTGTGTTAATATTTTGTTTTTTTCCTATAAATTTAATTAATCTTTTATACATGAAATTTTGAGAAACAAGTAAGAACAGATATTGGTCGATAATTTTTAAACTCGTTTTTTTTCATTTGCTTTTACGACTGGTGTGATCAATGCTTTTTTCAAGTCATCAGGAATATTTCCACTAATAAAAGTTAAGTTGAAAATGTGTGCAAGAGGTTCGGAAATTTGATTAGCAACACTCCTAATAACTTTTGCGCTTATACCATTGTACTCTGGGCTTTTCTTGATATTTTATTTAGTAATTTCAGTTTCTAATTCATATTTGGTTATAGGCTCAATGAAGAAACTATTTTTATAGCTACCTGTTAAAAATTCATTAAAAGTTCTTTCACAGTTCGAGAGCTTTCTGGCTATTTCTGGTCCAACATTCACAAAATATTCATTGAATTTATTTGCTATGGTGTGAGGATCTTTAATTTTTCATCAGGATTATTTCCGATAAATTCCTTCGGCATACTCCTTTTTTTCTCGTGTTTGTTTATAATTTGGTTAAGTGCTTTCCATAATAATTTTGTGTTATACTTGTATTTTGCTAGTTGTTCTTCGTAATGCTTCTTTTTTGGTACTTTTATAACATGGTTAAGTCTATTTTTGTACTTTTTGTAGATGTTTTTATTCTTTAGTATAGGGTGATTTAGGAATTTCTAATACGGTTTGTTTTTTTTCTTGACAGACTTTACAATGCAATTTGTCATCCATGGGCCTTTTATTTTTGTCAACACTTTTTGTAACTATTTCTTTTGTCAGTGGATAGTTTCTATCATAGACAGTTGAAAATGAGCGAAAAAATTTATTATAGGATTCAGTGGTGATATTACTAGAGAGAATGATATACTTGTGATGGTGTTAGTAAATGCTTTAACACAAGAGTCATTGATAATTCTTTCACATTTAAACTCCTTTACTGGTATAGTCTCTTTATGAGTCTTTAAACTTCGTATGTGAACAATAGGCAAATGATCAGAGATGCCAGAAAAGATAATGCCATTTGTACTTGAGTCTCTACTTTCAATATTGTTAGTAAAAATATTGTCTATTAGTGTGCCCGTATGTTGTGTGATTCTCGTTCGTCTCAACACAAGTGGAATGTATGATGGTGTAAGGCTATTAGTATTACTAAGATTCACTCTATTTGTTTTTTGACTGAAATCGTCTGGCAGGAATATTCACAGTTGATTTTAGTCTGGCTTATATCTAAGTCTTTGTTGTTCTTAGACAATGCTATATTATTATTTGTGTCCAACGGGTTAAATTTTAAATTCTTTAGTCTATCCATATTCTCTTTACTGACATTGTTTCCGTTAAGAATATTAAATTCATATTCAAAATCATCCAGCGTTTGAAATGGCAAAGTATCACCTGAACAATTTTGACACACATCGATTGTTTTATCTATATCTGAAGTGGTGTTAAATGATTTTATCCATGCTAACATAGCGTGAAACCATTTACCGCATGTAAGACATACTGTTGACTTTTTTCTAAGGCATATCTCTAACTATTTTATAGCAAGAAGCGCAAGTTTTCTTTGTTTATTGTTAAGAGTAGCCATTTAAAAGGTTTTTAGTTACTGTAAATGTTTATTTGGCCGGTAAATACGCAATAAGAAGATTATAGTATATTATAGTATAAGCGTATAAAATTTCAAGATCTGCTAAAATTAAAAACTTGCCCTTCGATAATGAGTTTATCCTTTACAATTCTGGCTCTTTTACCTTCCGATTTGGCTTTCTTTAGTTCAGGATAGAGAGACTTTCGAATGGTTTCAATTTCTTCAGGAAACTGTTGAGATACTCCGATGGTTGTGCCCTAGCTTTCTTGCATTTAGACGCACAAATTCCCTGTCTTGGTGGTAATTGAATTTTACCACAATATGTCTTGGTTTATGGTTTCCTTCTTTTCTTCTTCTAATTCTATGAGATCGGTCGATCTTTACATTATTTATTGCATCTTCCATTCCCATTTTTGTTTCCAGTAATTCGTGGATCATTTCTGTTGTATTTTTCTTGTAGTTTTCAGCAATGGCGTAGCTAGCGGTCCCGCTATCCCGCCCGGCGGGACAAAAAAGTCCTAAAAATTAGACTAACTAATTAACTAAAATCGCAATTAGATCATTACTTATTTCGAAAAAATTTTCAGTGCTTTTATTATTTATTTTATGCATTTTACGCAATTTTGCAGCAGTCTACTTGTCTTACGAAACAACGGAAATTGACGATTAGCTAATTTCCACGCAGTTTCGTTGTTTACTCGCGCGATTCTGTCCTGTGTTCCGCCGATTTTGAAATGGCGGAATTTGCAATACTATGCGTGAGTACACTCACAACCGTGACGGTAGGTTAATATATTCATATATTCATATTTGTTATTGTCCTTTCTCCTTGAGATTTGCATACAAATACAATGGCATCAACAAGCGTGACCAATCCTGTTTCTGTTCAATCATGTGTATCTGATATTGTAAATGCTTTGTTGATGAGATCTTTTTCTGTTCAACCAACTGTTGAACAAAATGTTATTGTCAAGGAATGACCAACTCCAAATTTAAATATTAAGAATAAGGGGAGGTCATTCATGAAGGAGTGGTACTCTAAAAAGGATTGGCTTTGTGGCAGCTCTGTTTTAGCAAAATTGTTCTGTTGGCCATGTCTTTTGTTCTGTCTGGGAACGTCACCCACATGGACAAAGACTGGCTATACGGACATGAGAAGCTTGATGTCAGATGGGAAAAAGCATGAAAAGTCCAAGTCACACTTGGCTGCCTACAATATGTGGAAAATGTTTGGGGTGAATGTGGGAGTGGATTCTCTTCTTTCGCAAGCAAGAAGGGATGAAATTCAAAGGCACAATGAAGAGGTAAGACAAAATCGGGAGATCCTTAAGACTGTGACCGAAGCAGTACTATATTTATCAAAACAGGAGTTGGCAATCAGGGGTCATGATGAGAAAGAAGATAGTTTGAATAAAGGAAATTATAGAGAGTTGCTTGAGTCCTTTGCCAAGTTTGATTCTGTATTTGAACGAAGACTGCATGGTAGGTTGGCTGAATCTGGAAGGGGCGGGCGTTTTACTGGGGTGTCTCCTGAAATTCAAAATGATTTAATTAATTGTATTGATTCTGTTATTGATGATGTAATTATGAAGGAGATAGATGATTGTACTTTTATCAATGTGCAGGTTGATGAGACCTCTGATGTTTCTACCAAAGAGCAGGTAAGTATAATTGGACGTTTAGATAAGGGTAGTGAAATTGTTGAAAGACAATTAGGATTTGTGGATGTGAGTATGAATAGGACTGCTCCTGCAATATCAGAAGTTGTGAAAGATAAACTTGGTCAGTTTTCTACTATGAAGGAGAAACGTATAATGCAAACTTATGATGGTGCCTCTGTCATGTCTGGCCACATTAGTGGTGTTCGAACTTTGGTTCGTCAAGAGTATCCTTTTGCCCATTTTGTCCATTGTGCAGCTCACAGGTTAAATCTTGTTTTGTGTCAGTCTGCCTCATCTATTCCCCCTGTCAAAATTTTTTTTATCAATATAGGTGGCTTTTGTACTTTCACAAGTAATGCCCCTAGAAGGAAGGCATTTCTGACCTCCCATAATCTTGAGTTCCCTAGCCCTGGTGATACCAGGTGGTATTATCGAGCCCGTGTTGTTAAGGTTTTGTATAATAATTATGAGAAACTTTTAGAACTTTTTGAAGGAATAACAGATCAACCTAATGGTTGGGATGATGAATCATTGAGTAAGGTTAGTGGCTTACTGCACTATCTTAATAGTTTTCTCTTTTGTTTTTTAGTATGTGTTTTTTACAAAATTTTAGAGCAGTCTTCTATTTTGTATTCAGTGCTTCAGAGTACAGGTACAGACTTTAGCTATGGCATAAGCAAGATTGAAAGTTTTAAGAATTTTGTTTCTTCTCTTCGTACCAATGAAGAGTTTGGTAAATTTTATCAAGAAGCAGTAGATAAAGTAGGTCAACCTGCAAGTAAAGCAGACAAAAAACATAATTACAAAGCCCTTTATTTTGAGATGA